AATGGATATGGGGTAAAAAATATCCCCTGGGTTGGACAAGGATAAGCGGACCCTAAAAACTATGCTGCAAGACTACCTGTAATATAGAAGTCGTGGTAATGAAGACCGCTAAGGAGAAAAAGCGCAGTTTTTTCAAAATTTAAAAAGAAACAATTACAATTACAGCGGCGCTGCATGTTTGTTTAATGCACTAAAATACACTATATAGGAGGGGGGCGTTCAGGGACGCGTTTCTAATGTTTTGCGATTTGTGATGAAGTTGCCTGTGGTTGGAATTATCGAGACAAGAGTCTCAGGCGGACGAAATGTTCTCAAGAGGATTGAGATCCGAAGGTCAGGGATGCAACGGGAGCCGAAGCTTTTTTTCTGAATGTGCTCGACCAGGCAGACCCTGTCGTACTGGAGGACGTGTTGAACCATACTGATGCCAGTCCATCTTCTGTAACAGAAGCTGTACATTGGACCTCGGCCGTCGGTCAGTCTAGACTGCCCTGTCATTCAGGTGTCAGTGACCTGTCGACTTAGTTTTTCTTCACTCAAATTGTTGTTATTATCTAATGTCAAGCTTTAACACCCAACACGTTTATCTCCTTCGAAACAAGTTTGCGGTACTGGTAACGAATTTCTCTGATAGATCTACTCTTAACTCACCCATGTTCTGCCGAAAATACACCGAAAAACCTCAAACAGTAGTAACCAGAATCGCATAAGTCTTATTATTAAAGGGACGTAGTAAACGAAATAACTAATGAGCTCATTAAAAGCAACCGTTTTGCCGTTAGTTGGCCATGGCAAACAAATACTCTTGTGTCCAAACAGCTCCGGGTTCGCTCTGCCATGTTTGCGTTAAGAGTAAAGAAACCAAACTGTCTGTTAGACCGAGAAAACACCGTACAACAGCATTGCCATTCGCATAGTAAGGAGACAGACCATTGATGGCGTCAGGTCGTACGGTACGGGTGCGTCCCAAGTGTTTGTATAACATGCTGACTACGACAGACGCACAGGAAATCCTGGTAAGTTCCTTCCTAACACATCTCGTAGGATAGATGGCTTCAAATGATACAGCTACTGCCATTAATTTATTTTTTCCTAAGCTAAACAAATTCAGTTTCCTCGTTTTTTGTCCGACCGTTAAATTGGATGATTAATGTTTGCGGTCGAATTTATAAATTATTCTTTGGCGCAACATCTTTTGAGGCTATTTTAAGCGAAGGTGAGGTACAGGTCAGTTTATTTGAGGGGAATGTAGATTTGCACCTTTGAATCCCCTGTTTGTTTACATGCACTTTCAGATAACAAACAGTTAGAAAATGCATCATAAAATGCAAGTGTGACAGATCTGTCCAGGTAAATGAAATGAAAAAGTACCACAACATCTTAGTTCGAAGCAGCAAACTTGTGCACTTATTACTTCGGGAATAGTACTTAAGCTTATCAGCAATATCAAACGACGCCAACCAGTGTAGTACAAAAAAGCATGAAAAGTCAGACAGTGAAAAAATTGCCTTGGATGCTTTTCAGAAGCTACAGAAGGTTAAAAACAATTAAGACTCTTTTTTTATTTACAAATTATCTGTTTTATGTTAAACAGGTGACTCGAGGAGACGAATTTTAAGTCGATCAGGGCAGTTAACGCAAGAGTGGTAAGATGAGGGCACAGCATTGTTATTGACAAAGTCAGAAAGTTGGACGCTGGTGGCGTCAGTTGGATGGGCGCGGGCGTCTGTTTGGTCCCATAACCGAATACTCCCCACGAAAACTCTACTAAGACCGTTCCAATACTGCGTCGATAGTTTTGATATTGCAAAGAAGATGAAGGAGTGATCACTAGGGCAGCACTTATATTTGTCTGAGTTTTGACTTTTGCCTGCCATCTTCTGGAAGGCAAGCTGAACGTGTGATAGGTGCTATGCAAGTCCGTCCTACTATAAACTACTACACGCACAAGTCACCGGTGCTGCGCTCACGCCATAAGGCACGCGATAGACATCGTCTCCTGTGCCGTTTGAACTAGCACCAATCACCTACGCTTTTTTCAAGTCATGTGGGTTATTTCAATTTGTCTATTTCTTTCTCTCCCCGAGGCAAACAAACCCAATTTAATCATCCTCCTATCGGTCCGTAAATGTGAGGAAAACGCGATGTTGCGGTTTAAAGTTTTAAGCTAATCGGTGGGTCTTCTGTCCAGAAAAAAACAACAACTTTAGAGGTTTTTATGCAGTGGAATTAATCTCGAAAACAGTTATGGTTCAAATTGCGCTCATCGAGCAACTGCTGTCCTTCTATAACACAAGAGAATAAAAGGGCAGCTTATAATTTGACAGGAGATGAGCTTCCTGACTATTGGTTTACATTAACTCCTGTGGCTTACATCCTTCCGATATGTTTGAAGTCATTTTATACAAATAGCGATATTCATCGATTGTATTTTATTGCAAACTATGTCGCACAGACTTGGCCGGATATTTTAAGGAGATATCGGATAATCATTAGAAACGCGGACAGGGACAAGTAATTAGCAGCAGAACGACGTGCGGACATAGAGAAGGAAAATTAAGATAAACATGTGGGGTCGGTTAGTGACCCAACAGTCGCGCTGGGAAATTCCACTTGTATATGTAGAAGGAAATATTTCAGATCCTGATTTACGTGTTCAGTGTTTTACTATGCGATCAGTCTCGACGGTTACCGTTCGGACTCAATCAGCTGGTTTATTTTGAGGCAGAATATGTCAAGTAGAAAGCGGTGCGCTCACTGGAATCATACTTTTACTTGTCTGAGCTCTCGGGCTCATTCTAGAGTCCGCCCTCAGAGATAAAGGCGTAAACCAGACAAGTG